AAAGTGATGTCCAAAATGCCTGTTTTTACCATAACTGTCAAGTGTTTCTAAGTTCTAATTTTCGTCCAGGTCGTTATAGAGATTAACAAAGATTAGAGCATATGATTTCTTGGCAAATAGTTGAATATAAATTTCCTTTCAATAAAAATGTGATCCTAAAGTTTCATAAAAAATGTGATCCTAACGCTAAACTTGCATTATGACTATTGTCATAAAATATCATCTCATGAACTTTTTTAATGGTTCTTGCCAACATTTATTCTAATTGGAGCAATAAACTAGTAAAATGTAGAATAATTTTTTAATAAATAATTCGGAACTTTGTGCTTATTTCGAGTTTATAGAATCATTCGGATTTTTCACACTACTGACGTTAAAATAGTCATATATTACGATAGGCGGCAGGTTTACTGGTAAGTCTTTGCAATGCAAAAATTGGACCCAGCTGGAATCGAACCCGGATATCTGGTCAAATGAGTCAAATTTAATGGTCAATTCAGATATGAAAAACATTCGTATTATGACGAGGCTTAAATCTATAAAGAAAGTTGTCGTTAATTGGTTTTTCTCGGTTTTCATGTTATTTCTGAACTGTTCTCACCGAAAGTCTTTGACTGGTTGAAACAGTGGCCAAACCATGTGAAAAGCGGATCTGCCACCTATTGTAATATAACACTGATAACACTTGTCTTATTATTTGCAACTAAAAATGTAAAAATGAAACTTCTCAGAAAAATTCTAATTAATGAATCTGTTTCATGACTGGACACTGCAACATTTTAAAACTATTTTAAAAAATCTATAATCAAGAAAACATTAATTAACGCTTTCTTCTCAAAAAAATTTAATGACAGAAAACAAAAAGAGTTTAGTTAAAAGAAAACGGCAGGAAAAGCAATACAAAAACGCAACTTTTGAAGACCGAGGAAATTATCTGGAAATTTTTTCTCGTACTTTTTTGGTCAATAATGCTTCGACTCTTTTTTTGAAATTGCTCTCACAAATGATGCAGACAATTTATGATCTTTTCAAATGATTGAATCTTATCAACATTTTCATGCTTTCCATTTTTACAAACAACCTGCGGAAAAAAATCAAAACCGGTCTGACAAATGGAGAGTTTAAAAAATAACAGCTTAACACCATATAATATTTTGCCCCTCTTAAATCAGGGGCGGATCTAGGATATTCTCGCGGGGGGGGGGCGGATTTTTGAAAATTTTCAAAAATTTGTCGACATTTTTTTTAGGTTGACCATATTGATTCCCCGAGCTCTCCCAAAGCACTAAAAAGACTCAGTTTTGGCCAACAATTTTGCGCCGCAGGCACAATTTTGAAAAACAGGCCAAAAAAGGCGTTTTTAGGCACTTTTTGAAAATTTTTGACCAAAAATTTGCGTTTTTTCGGCGCGCGCTTCCCACTCAAAATTAGTATATATTGGCGCCCAAGGCATTTTTAGGGTCAGTTACCAAACACAGATATCTCAAAATTGTACAAGGGGGCCTTTGGGTCG